CACCTCATCTACCCATCTTTTAAATACCTCCAGGGATGGGGACTCGACCACTTCCCTGGGCAGCCTGTTCCCTGGGAGAAGAGATCGACCCCCACTTGGCTACAGCCTCCTGTCAGGCAGTTGTAGAGGGCAATAAGGTCTCCCCTCAGCCTCCTCTTCTCCAGACTAAACAACCCCAGTTCCCTCAGCCATTCCTCATCAGACTTGTGCTCCAGACCCCTCACCAGCTTTGCTGCTCTCCTCTGGACATGTTCCAGCAACGCAACATCTTTCCTGTAGTGAGGGGAAGCACTACTCAGTGCAAAGGGGAAAGGAACAGCCTGGCCACTGTCTAAACCCAAATCTAGTCAAGGAGAGGCAGAGTTCTTCTAGGCTGTACTTCCCCGAGGACTTGCATTGTGGATGTGTATATGAGGAATGGTTGCTGGGGGCACCTAAAGCCTGCTGGAAACTACACAAAGATTTGGTTCAAGGAATGGGGAGAGATTCAAGCTCTTTGTGATGGAAAACAGATACACTGACTGATTTGCAAGGCAAAAATGAGTCGAAAGGACAAATTTAGATATTTTAAGGTCTGCTTCCTTCAAGATCTGAGCTAAGAGTTTGATTTCTGTAACAGTGCTTTTAGTTAGAGACCAAGCAGAGTGTGCTGCTGTTGAAGTGATTTACTTGAAGAAAGCAGCTATAAAACAGAGCACTTCACTTCTGTGCAATTTTATCCCCATCTCTGCTGTGTGTGAGTACTCAATGCAATTAAAAAGTAGCCTGGGTTTTCCCTGTACCACGCTCTGAAGGGCACTGGTGTTAAGGCCCCACTACAAGTTCTGATTGCACAGTAGCCTGTCGCGTGTCTTGTCCCACCATATATTGCATGAGATGCTCTTAAGCAAAGAAAAGCACATGAAAAACTTGTCACAGCTTTCTGAAGCAAAACATTTCCTTGTGACTTCCAACAGAATTTGGCAGAAATGGTTGACTCAAGTGCTAACTGGTTGCAGAACAGCAAAAAGACCTGCAAACTTTTGCTGAGGCATGATGATCCAGTCACATCACATAACTTGCTGAGATCTTTTCTGATACTGTGGAAGCAACTAGAAATATTAATGGCAGAATGGGTCTGGCTGAAGCTGAGGACTGAGGATATCAATTCGGTTCCTCTCTACAAAGAGTTCTGCGAGCAATTTGGGTAAGTTACCTTGGACATAAGAATATTCCAGAGAGACCGAAAAGTTGCAAAATCAGAGCAGTCTCTGCCTACTCCACCCATTTTCCTCCTGTACCCCTCTTTCACTTGCCTTTTTTTTTATTTCGACCTTTCTTTATTTTTGCTTATAATTAACCTAGTACTTTCACTTTTCTCTAGAGGCTTGAGAGTTGCCTTTTAGTTCTTTGTTTCAGTACAGCTGTTTTTTCCCCCCTTCCAGTGTCTATTCAGACTGTTCACTGATGGTGTTTTCCAGGTGCATTCTTCTCAGTCGTGCGACCCACCTCTGTATTTCAGGCTCCATAAACAAAGTTAAATGCAGTATTTGAATAAATGGAAATTTTGGAAGCCTGTTAGATGAATTGTAGCGGAATTCTTCCTAACCCTCCTACTTGGCTCAGCTTTGAACAATCAAGAATAGAAAATTGGAAGATTTCCATCAGAGAGGCCCTTCTGAAGGCAGAAAATGAAACACCACTTTTTAAAAAGCCTTGTCCCCGGAAACCACAAGAAAGGAAGTGAAAGAGCAAGATGACTCAGTAAGGGTGAAATCAGTGCATGAAGGCCCTGGAAAACACCGCTGTCATGCAGCGGAGCACGGAGGAAGTGCCCAAGCTCATTGGGCCAGTCCCTACAAGGCCAAGGGATTTTAGATTCACAAGTCTGAATCCGCCGCAGAAAATCTGTATGTGTGTAAAGAGCTGGTATCAGATTTGCCCCATTCATCTGTATCCCACAGTTACTCCCCATGCATTACCACTGGATCGGAGGGGGCACAGTCCAGTGCTGGGGGTCCACGGTCTTCACCTCTAACTAATTTATAAACTGTGCCGAGGGAGCAGCTCCAGGACAGAGCAGGACTGGGTTGCAGGAGGGCTGGGAGTCAGGGGTGGGGGTTCTCCATGCAGAGCGAGCAACAGCTCGTGCTTACGCCATGGGGCCGGGCAGCTGCGGGAGATCCTCAGCATCTCCCAGTCCCTCCGCACCCAGAGCTTTTTTGTGGTGATGCCGGAGGTCGGGCTTAGCAGTTATTGCCTCCCGGGAAGAGAGGTGAGCTCCCTGCCCCTGGCTTCGCTTACCCTGGCCTTTGAGCCGGAGGAGATTCTGTAGCAGCACCTGCAACAGCTCTTCCATAGCGGGCAATCTGCCAAATGTCCTGTACCTAAAAATCCCACTGCATTTCCCTCAGCCAACGTCCCCACCCATACCCTTCCACAGATGAGAGCTTCCTACTTCCCCGCTCCTAGCTCTGCACTAACCTTTGTGTCAAGCCATCAAGGGTTTAAAAGGCAGCGTAATTAAAGCAATAAAATGTAACAAGGTTTATATGCCTTGCTAATGGCTCCTCTGCTTCTAAGAGCAAAGTGGTGTCTGCCTCCATGCTTCCCACTCAGAAGCACTTAGCAAACCCATGATCAGATATGAAGGAGAGCAGGGGGAGGAGGTGGAAGGAGTTTCTTGGTCTATTTGAATGACGGTGGTAGAAAAGTTCTTACCAGTGACCAGATTTCCCTGCTTCATCTGGTTTATCCCTTGTTCCTCCCCCTCGGCTTTAGTTTTGTATTATTGTAAACTTGGAAAAATTACCAAACTATTGTAATAAGGCAGGACCAGCGAAGAAGAGACTGTCCTGCCCCACTTGCAGGTCGAGCGGGACTAATGTGGTGAGCTGAGACTTGATCATATTCTGCATGGGTTAAGGAACGGGGATGTGGGAAGAAAAAAGGAAAGTTAAGATCCAAGGTCAGTAAATGCAAACACAGTAATTTTGAGAGAGAAAGGGTGAAATACCCATGTCTTGGTGATTCTAGCATGGATATCTTGTACCCAGCCATGAAAGCCATGGTCAGACAAAGGGGCATGCAGGAGGAGTTTGGAGAGCACTCAGCATATACACACCCCCACACCCCGAGGAGCATCAGAAATCGAAATGAAAGTGTACCAGGTAAGGGGAGGGTTATTGGTGGGGCGTTGTGGAGGACCACAGAGCATCGCGTTCTCCTGCAATTTCTGATGAGTGAAGTCCAGTGGGGCCCTGTGGAGGCTGTCGTGGGGGGAAGTTTAGCAGATGTGGGTGACCCGGGAGGCTCTGCAATGGCACCTCTGCTGGGTGGAGCCAGGTGTAGCTCCCGGGACGGACCGAAGCAACAGGGCCTCTGCCTCTGTCCAGAGTATTGGTGGCACAGCACCAGGCATAGTCACCCCCAAATGATATGAACCTTGATACTGTATCTGCAAGTACTGTGTTTTAGAGAAGAATGGAGAGAGTTGCTTTGGTTTAGTCTGCTAGTTTTTCCTAATTGGCAAGTTGCTTTATACACAGCATAGAGATTTAGTAAGAGCTAAATATTAAACTTGATTCTAGCTTCAAAAGCTTCTGGAAAGCCTAGACATCCACATGATCCATGATGTGCAGAAGAAAATTAGCCAGGAGATGACACTAGTGACAGCTGAAAGAGCCAGACAAGGGACCAGTCTCTCCACTAGTAAGGGGAATTAAAATACCCTTTCTGGGAAATACGGGAGCCCCAGTCTTGAGTGGGAAAAGTAGCCTTGATGCATAAGGGTCTGAAGGGAAATCTTATCAGGAGTGGACGAGGGAACTGGGGTTGTTTAGCCAGGAGAAGAGGAGGCTGAGCGGAGACCTTATCACCCTCTACAACTGCCTGACAGGAGGCTGTAGCCAAGTGGGGGTCGATCTCTTCTCCCAGGGAACAGGTGATAGGACGAGGGGAAATGGCCTCAAGTTGCGCCAGGGCAGGTTTAGATTGGACATTAGGAAACATTTCTTCACCAAAAGGGTGGTCAAGCATTGGAATGGGCTGCCCAGGGAGGTGATCGAGTCCCCATCCCTGGAGGTATTTAAAAGATGGGTAGATGAGGTGCTTAGGGACATGGTTTAGTGGTGGAACAGCAGTGTTAGGTTATTGGTTGGGCTTAACAGTCTTTTCCAACCTAAATAATTCTATGATTCTATGAGAAAGGTGGCAAAGAGTTGTCCTGCGTGTGAACAGGAGAGCACATTTGCTCTCAGCTCCCCACTTCCCTGCATTCCCATTTGGAGGCCAGGGATCAGCTGAATCATGGGGAAGGTATCACTGATGAAAAACAGCTTACCCACAGGAAACTCCCTTCTGTTTTGGAGAGCCCATTGTCAGAAATTCCAGAAATACACCTAGCAGGAAGCCATGAAGAATTGTGTGCCGAGATACCATACACTTTTCTGCATGGATCTGTTTATTCTGTCTGCTCAACAGAGTCAAATTCCCTGAATCTAAGAGTTCACTTTCTCTTTCTAAAGTGAAAGTTTAGCCATAATAATTGTAAAGACAATTGTGCAAACAAGGCTGAACATAAATTATTCTGGAGATTGCAGGCAGCCTGAAGCAGGCTGGTGGGAAATTACTTCTCCATGCCTCTGTGTTGGAGCATTAAGATTTTAGGCCTAGCAATGCAATTTAAATGCCAGACTTGTCAGTACCTTAGGTGTTTACCGGCTACAATTCCTGAATGGGTGCGGGCAATTTGGGTATTCACAGGCACAAGTAGTGAAACAAAGAAAAAGTGGAAATAAAAGGGAAGAAAAATCATGCCCTAGTGCCACTCATTGTGGTTGCAGGCAGCGCTAATCAGTGCAGAGAGATGTTCAGTTTCCCACAAAAGCCATATTCTTTACTCAATATTTACAGAAAACTCCAATACACAAGTCTGTGGGCCAGGTCATTATTCACAGAACGGTTCTGTAATGAAATAGCATTTTGGCAATACCAGAACAAATTTGATATTGCTGCTCAACACAGGCTTTGCAATCTGTTTGCAATGACATTTACTTTTTGTGGTAAACATTTTAGGAAAGCTGAGAAACCCTAAGCTATATATAAAGCATACCCAGTGTCAAATCCCAGAGATTACTGAAGGATCAATATTTTGTGACAGTGATACCCACTGATGTGTGGTTTTATTCTGTTTGGTCTTTTTCTCCCTCTGTTCCTGCAGAGCTCTGGAAACACAGGGTAATGCAAGAAAAATTCTCAGTTGTACAACCACAGATAGTTGAAACATTTGTTCAAAGGCTGATGGAAAACTACCAAGAATCAGATACAGAGGTACGTATTCTGCATTTCTATCTATGCAACAGCTAAATCATGTTTACAGCTTTATTTATCAAAGCTCCTGTCAATCAGTGGCCTAAAAGAGAAACACATTTCTTAAGCTTATGAGCTTAGATTCAGATTATGTTGGTTTGCAATAGCAGCGCTGGCAGCAAATTTGTGTATTGCCCTGCTGCCTTCTGACGGGTTTATTTCAGCTCTCAGGACTGTAATAATGTGAAGATGAGTTAGGGCCGGAGGTTTATATGCAACTGCAATGCAGGATTGCAAGACTTTATTCACGGATTCGGTAGTAGAAACTCTTCTTCCTGAGTCATTGGTAAAGTGGGGGTCCGGCACGATGTTAGGAAGCATGTTTAGGGGCTTTTTCAGTGAAATGTAAAGAAAATATTTATGAAAATATGACCATTTCTGGTTAAAAAACAAAAACCATGGTTTCTTTGAGAGAAGGGATGTTGGGGCCCAACTGCAATCCAGGCAGTTTCTGAGCTGGTGATTTAATTTCTCTACTGAAAATTCTCTTTTAGCTTCAGATGAAAAAAAAACCCCAATGTTATATAGTTGCAGCTAGAACCAGTCAAAAACCTGACAAATCTATTTTCTATTAGTTCAGTGAAGTTCTAGATTGGGCAAAAACATTTACATTGAATAATTTAATTTTTGCTTCATTCTGATATCACAGAAGCATTTTATTTACAATAAGGTGACCGTATTTCATTTCGATGTATGCTATATAAAGCAATGCTTGTGACTCAGGCCACCTGCAAAGTTTCTTATTTTGTTCTCCTAGGTTACTTTTAAAAAAAGCCATTTACAACAGTGTCTCACCATACTGGGCTGTGACACCATGGCCAGAGAGCACAGCAACTTTGAGACCTACTCCATGTTTTATGAAAATATTCTCCAGCAGCATCATCGTTTACCAAAAAGAGCAAGTATGCTCAGAGCGTCGATTCTACTCTTCAAGAACAGGAGAAGGTGGTTTCTCTTGGTGGGAGGCAGTTGCTAAGTAAGAAATGAAGTCAAGCTGTCAGGCTGGAAAGTTGTTTAAGTGGAGCTGGGCTACACAGGCATAGTCACCGTGCATCTTTGTGCTTTGCTTCGGGAGCTGCATGCGATGGAAGAAGGTGGCAACCTGAGCAATATGGCCCTGACGCAGGTTGGTGATGGTGGCCTGTCAACTGGTAGCGCTTAATAGTCTCATCTGGGACAGAATCCCACTTTACAGACACACAGTGACAGTCTCTGAGAAGGCAGGGGGGCTCTGGGGCTGCTGTTTCTGCGCTCAGTGCCAGAAGTCATGCCAGTAGGACTTGTAAAACAGATAACCTGAAGGCAAAGGTAGGCCTGCTCTTCTGTCACTCATGTTCACAACGGGTGGTACACGGGCAACCTTCTAACTTAAAACTTCTACTGATCGATCTCTTCCTTCACAAGGCATTTTCCCAGAGAAATTCAATCCTGTGCACTGACTGAGATAGATAGAAAATAGAAGTGGGTCAGGCACGTAGGCTGTACTGGAGCGTAGGTACCAGGTATGTGACATCATGGCTGCATAACCAGCTCCTCTGCAGTTCCGAGTGCAGCTTCAGCTGTGTTTTCTTAGGATAGCTGGTATGTGTGGGTGGCATTTTTTAAAGAAGTAAACCCAGCCAATAAATCAGAAATGCTATCTTGTGGAATCATGCGATATCCATGTAATCTATTAGCTGACTTGGAGGCTTGGCTCCGCCAACACAAACTCCACTGCTAGAGGCACGCCAGCTTCTACGGAAACCAACATGAGGGATAAGACTGCTTGGGTTTCAGGGATGTTTGCAGAACAGTGTTAGAGCACCTGCATTTTGGATTTTGTTCCTGGGCTCCTTTTCTCATCTGTCCTCATCACTGACTATAAGATTTAAATTAGTCTCTGGGCTTCTTACCAGTTTCTTGCCCCACTTTCTCAGGCTTTTTCCATTTTTTTTGCCCCTATATCCTTTTCTGTATGGTATCTTGTCAGCAACCTCCCTTCTTCCCTGATTTCACTGTCCTGTCCATATGTTTGGGAAGGCTGCAGTGAGAGAGAAAATGAGAAACGTGTGAGGTTTCAGCTGGGTGGAAAGATACAGAAGTCAGTAGGACTGTCCTGGAGCCTGTGAGCAGCGGAGTCTCTCTCCCCCTCCACTTCGCTAGCCCATCACCACTAGATCCCTGTCTCATCTGTGTTGTATAGTGGCCCAGGGTGCTTCAACCTCAGGAGAGAATTCCTGCTCCCAGTTCCACTTCTCGCTAGCCTAAAGCAATTAACAGCAGCTAGTGCAAGGCTGAAGAGCAGCCACTCTGTGTTGGAAACTATGAAAAAGGTTCAGGCGTGATCAGCCAAACTGGGATGGCAGATGATAGTTTAAAAACTAAAAAGTCTCTAAGGAACACACATGAACCATGTGGGTTGCTTTTTTTTCTCCAACAAAGTCTTAGGGCTTGACCAACTTTTTGCTGATTTTACAAAAAAGACACTCAAAACAGAGGGAAATTAATGCTGCTGTGAATAAAGAAAGACCACCTGAATTTTTCAGCAGGGCTAAAATACATGCATTTTCCCCCAGTGTTCATTTTCAGAAGTCTCTCAGTAATGTTTGCTCTAAGACAAAAAAATCAACACAGAAAACGTCAGCGAGAATCCAGTGAAGTTATTAGCATTTACTACTTAGATCTGGCATGCAGAAGTGCCAGGCAACCTTGAAAGCAGACTGTGCTGTTGGCTGTGCCTACAGTCTGCAGTTGTGCCTATTTCTTATCTGAGTCACGTAACATGCTAAGAATGATTTTTAGCTTTCCTCCATTGTGTTCATCTGGTTGCAAATGCTGTTCGGCGGTATGGAAATGACCAAACATTTATACCTAGCAATGACCTACCTATGTGAAATTTAAGTTCTGTCATTTAAATCTGTTTAAGTTCTGTCATGTACCTTCCTATTTGTGCTAACCTGCCTGCCCTTTCTGAGGGTATGTTCATTGTCAAATATCAGCAAATGGAACATGTCATTGTTTTTAACATATATTAAATGGTGTCTGTGTACAAGCTTATCAGCAGACAGCATATTTGCTCCGATAAATGCATTACCTCACAGCTTACTGAAGCTTACTCACCTGGTCACAGTTCTTCTGACTTTCTCTTTGGAGGCAGGCGAAATTATGCTATGGGCAGCCAGGCTCACCAACATACCAGAGCCATGCACAGGCTCTTCTCCTAAAATCAGATTCCCTGATCCTGCTCCCCAATCTTTCCACTCCTCTGCATACATTTCCTTCTGTTAGTTCTCATACCTCTTAGTGAGGAGATCTTTCTTTCCTGATGACCAGAAACAGACATTTTAAGGTTATGTATGAAACTTATGCATTTGCCCGCTTCAAATATTGGTCGTGAACAGCCACAATTCTTCCTACTGTTTCCAGGGAATAAATGTTTCTAAACCCAACAGAGACATACAAAATGGATTATTCCATATCATCAGTGGATTATTTTCATCAGGCCACTCAGTTAAGAAGATATTCTTGTTCTACTTAATTATGTATCACATAACATATTCAGAGCTCTGGATCGTTTACTCCTAGGCTACGGTGTTTGCTCATCCCCAGCTTTGCTCATTCACTTTCTCTGCTGTGATAGATTGTGGGGCTGTGCCACAGGATGATTGTGGAAATAACTGCTCTCAGAGCCCAGTTTGCTGACTTAGAGGAAGAAAATCTCAGTCTCAGAGAGAAGGTCAGAAAAGAAGTATGGGATGAATATGAATCATTAGGGTGGAACTTACTTGTGACTTGCGTCCATCTAAAAGTAGGTACAGAATAAGAGGGGGTACTTGATCGGTCTTTTTTGTGCTGCTGTATAATTTGCCAACAAGTGTAGCACTCAAAGGAATAAATTGCTGCAGTGTGCCAGGTGGATGAATGGGTGAATCATTTATCTCTTGCTGCTAGAAGCATCTTGTAAAAATGTCTGGTAGAAAAATAGTGTACCTTTTCCAAGAGAGGAGGCGTACTCTTGATGGAAGAGGTACCACATTAGAGAGAGTGATGGAAGCTCTTTTTAGTTACGGTGTAGGGGACTTTTTTGATATAATACTTCAGTTTGTAATATTCTGCATTATTTCCCTTGGAAATTTTATGTCCACTGTGTAATTTTATTGCTCACTCTAAGAATGCCTTTGTTTTCAAGTAGCCCACTGATTTCTTTGCGGCAACATATGTCATCATTACTTACAAAAATAGGATACCACAATCTAGTCTGTAAAAACTGATCTGCTTGTGACCATGTGTGTCATAGAGCAACTGCCTGCATCAGATCCCCAGGGTTTGATTGATGGTGCACAACCCTGTTAATGTTTGTGGCCGGGACAACAGTGACTTGAGGAATATTGTGATTTCTTTGGCAATCCTGAGGGTGAGTCCCGTTTTCACCAGAAAGCTAATTTTTTCACCATGGTGCTGCTACTTCCATTAAATACATACACCCCAGGATGGCCAATAGGTTGCCTGCAAATGATACAATTGAAATTCCACTTCTTGTAGTGTCTGGATGCAAGAAGAATATTGCTCTGTCTTCCTGATACATTGATTCTAGGAAAATAATTAGGAAGAAAGACCATCTGGTTGTAGTTGAGAGACTTCTGAAATCTTCTGAATGTTGCTTTCCCATATGTGCACCCTTCATCTCTTATGGGTTCTG